TTCTGGCCCATGCCTATCTTCGTGATAGATAGATAACGTCTATTTTTTTAGGAAAACAGAAATCGAAAAACCTACCACATCCAGGCATTGTAATCCCTACTCCGCTCTCTTCTCTCACACTTGACCATCTCCACACCCTCCTCCCTGTGTCCTCCTCCACCCACTACAGAAAGGACACAGACAAAAGAAGCTGCCGGAAGGCCAGCTCTTTCTAGATCAGTCTAGGGCAGCACCAGGCAGACTCAGGGTGTGCAGAAGATCTTACACCCGGAGGACATGCTACTGCAGGTCCCAGCCAGACTGCCCATCCGAATCTGCGAGCCAGAGTGCGGGAGGGAGGAGCCGACTTCAGGGGAGGGTCTGAGACACGCGGCACACGCGGTTCTCCCAGCCCTGTGATGCTTGGGTTGACCAGATGTTTCTGAGCCTGGAGCAAGCAGCCAGGCCAGATGACAGAGCTTTCTCGGTTGGTGACGACTTAAACATCTGCCTGCAGTCAGGAGGCACCTCGCTTCCTTGTGCACAAGCTCAGGTGAAAGACTGAGATGAATGTCCTTCTTCTCCCCCACCTCCCTTAAGATGTCCCGGGAAACTCTTTGGGAGGTCTGGCCCGGAGGTTGCCTTGATGTAAATCAGAGAAAGACACACACTTTACGCTATCCACAGATATAGCCATGTAGATTTGGGTAGAGATTACTATTTCCAAAGTAGAGTTTAGCTCACCTGGGGGGGATGTGTTTGTATCCACATTTGCATACGCCCACATGGGGACATAAGCTAATTTTTTTACAGGACACAGAATTCTATTCAATGCTGTTAAATACGCCAATAGTTTAATCTCTATTTTGTTGTTGTTGCTTGTTTGAAGAAAATCATGACATTCCAAGTTGACTTATTTTTTTTTCATTTTAATTAAAATTTGGAATCCTGAACATCTTCAGCACCCTCTCTTCCCTATAACTGGGGTCCTCTGACTTCTGTCCTGCTCCTTTTCTTCTGCTCTGTGTTTGGGGACTGTCACATAAACTGCCTCGCTATCTTGGCAGGTGGCAGTGGAGTTTCTGTGGGTCAGGGGCCGTGGGACAGCTGCAGAGCGTCCGGCCTCAGCCAGGTGCCCACCTCTCTTGGGCTTCTTCCCAGCTCCCTGGTGGGTGGATGCCACCTGCTCAGGTCCTCACCTCATGGAGATAATGTGGGTGGTCCCCAGAGAAGCCCCACTCTGGAATCAGCTGTAGGGTTTTTGTTGTGGTTTTTTTTTTTTTTTGGAAATAAAACTATAATATAAATTCTCCTATTAAATAAAATTATTTTAAGTTTTGAGTGTCAAAGGCGAGATGCTGAGAGTAGGTGATGATGTATATTGTTCAGAGCTGGGGGTGGTAGGATGGTGACCTTTAACCTGATCGCTCTCTGTCCCTTTTTTCAGATCATGGGTATTTATCATCTATTAGTATTTGTATCTTCAGTTTATTCCACTTTAGGAAGCAGAGCTGCCCGTTGTAACAAGAGGAAAAACAAAGAACAGACGTAGACAAGGAGATGTAGTGTCTCTCCCACACACAAATACCCAGGCAGGATGGGAGAGGCGGAACTCGGGTTGGATTTCCTTGAGATCATTTCCCCTTGTGGTCATGCCATTTGGCCAGGGGGATGTGGGAGGCTTGGCCTTCTCTGGGGGGCAGCGTGAGCAGGAGGAGCTGAGGGCAGCACATGAGTGGTCTCCAAGGGGTGAGCCACAGACTTGGTTTGGGATCATCTCTTTCAAGCTCAGAGTCTCGCGAGGTGGAGCTCCTGACCCAGCGCGCACGAGTGTCCCCCCACAAGTGGACATCAGCCTCTCCTTCTGGGAGGTGTCTGGCCATTCCCGGTCCCTGTTGTGGTCACCCCTACTGACATAAGAAGGGACTTGGGGTGAGGCCTGATCATGAAGCACCTGAAGTGTCCCTGCAGAGTGAATCAGTTGGCCAAACTGTGGCCCCGTCTGCTGGGCCCTGGGGGGGAGGTCCTGGGCAAGGAAGGGGTGTTTTGCAAAGTGACGTTGTCAAGAGGGCGGTTTTTGAGCTTTCTGTAAGCTATAGCTTTGTTTATTTCACCTGTTCACTTACTGTATAATTTAAAGTCATTTATGTAGCCGAGACACTTCTGTATTTCAATCATATCGTGACTGTTTGATTTTGCTAAATCTTGTGTCATGTCTGTAATATGTGTACCTTGTGTCTAAGAGACAAAAAAATATGGAACCCACATGCCGCCATTTTCCTGAATCAAATTCTACAGTGGAATCGAGGGTAAAATACTTCTACTTGGGCAGGCAGCTGGATTGGCAAATTGGGGAAACTAGAAGGAGCTAGGATTGGGGACACTCTTCCCGTCTCCTCTCCACTGGAGTCCCAGGGATTCCCTGAGTATGAAGGAGAAGGAAACAGACCAAGTGCGTTTCCTGTCCTTGTTTTTTATCAGCTGGCCCTGGTCATGCCCTGCCAACTCCCATTCCTGTTCCCCTGAAGCCCTTTCTCCCACCCCGTTGGGAAGCCATGATTTCTCCTAAAATTCCAGAGCCATGGGACACTTTGGGGCACCTCTTCTGCCTCCTCATCAAGGAAGCCCAGGCTTTTGCTTCCCGGCCAGAGCTCTGCTATGACCAGGGTAGATAATAGTAGATCTCACTTATTTACCATCCCCCACCCCCAACCTGCCTCAGGGCAGCTGAGCTACAGCCCTAGAGCACCGTGACCTGGGACTGGCTCCATCCAGGAGAACTGTGGCCCCAGGAGTCGGTTCCCTTCCCTGCCTCAGCCCTTCCCCTTCACCTTTTACATGACGTTGGACAATGTGGATTGCCCCAAGATGGCACCCAAGGATTTGGCTCTTACCCACTTGAAGTAAAATGATTTTGAGTATTTCCATCAGAGAGAAACATGGAAAAAAAAAAAACTAATGTCACAAGCACAACGAAATATGTCAGGGAGGCGGATATCAACAACTTCCAAATCGGGCTCTTGGCGGGCAAGAAGTGGGGAGAACTGCGTCATGCTCCGGGGCGGGGGCTTCTGAGAGTCTCCCGATCCTCCACCTTCCCCTTTAGCCGGTCTGCTGTGCTGAACCCCAGAAGTGATGGAGAGAAACCACCCAGAGGGAAAAAAAAGAGAAAACCCTGTCCGGAAGGAATGTATTTGTTGCTAAATTTTGTAGCACTGTTTACAGTTTTCCTCCATGTTATTTATGAATTTTATATTCCGTGAATGTATATTGTCTTGTAATGTTGCATAGTGTTCACTTTTTACTGTGTGTCCTTTATTCTAAACAGTAAAGTGGTTTTATTTCTATCACACACCCGCTGTCTCTTGCCTTTTTGTTTACTGTCCGCCTTTGGCGGGGGGGGGGGTTGTACGGACATCGAGGGGCCCTGGAAGCCTGTCCTGCCTGCCCCCGTCCAGGCCCACGCACCTTCCCACCCTCCACACCTGGGACCCCCTGCCCCAGGCCTTTCCCTAGGTGGGAGGAATTTCAGGGAGGAGTCCCAGGTTCCCTTGTGGTGGCTGACCCGGCTTGGTCTTTGTCCCCTCCTGCTACTGGTGGAGTTGTTCCTACTTCTGAAGTGTCTGGGTCTCATCTCATCACCTAGGGGTGGTGCAGGTACAGCCAGCCCGGGGCCTGGCTCAGCCTTCCGTATTTTCTTCCTAAGCATCACCTCCCATGGGGAAGCAGGAGCGGGAAGGCCCCATGACAAGTGGAGATCCCCTCCAGAGATTATAGTGGGACAGTCACCCTCAGGCAGCTCACTGGCCCAGCCGTCACCCCTCCCTTGACAGTCAAGTTCCAGATTCTAGCTTCTGCTCCTAAATCAGGAGGTACTCGACCTACTCTGTACGTGTCTGGCCCAGCAGTTATACACACGATCATTGGGATCTCAACCACCCGTGAGATTTCCCCACTTCCCAGGTTTCTTAATGGAGGGAAACCAAGGCTCACAGAGATCTAAACGCAGTCCAAGGTCCAGCACAAAGACCAAGCTGGAATTCAAACTCAGGCTGGCTTGAGAAGAAGCCCTGAATTTTCTCCCTTGTGTTCACACTTTGTTGGCACCCATGGGCTTCCATGTGTGTCTTTATGCACAAGCCCGATTCTGGATCAGGCACAGGGAAAGAAAATCACTGGGAAACTTCCACTTGGTGACCGGCTCCCACTGGAGCCTGCACCTCTTCCTGTAGGTGTCTCCAACAGGGATGCCCAACTTGGTCCTCCACAACCAGGCCACAGCCCCCAGGGTACAAGGTACACTGTTCATTATCTTGTTCTTCAGAACTCGTGATACTCAAAAGGCCAAGTCCAGGGCTATGGCCCTGCGTTCCCTTGACCAGTTTAAGAAGACCACCGACCGGGCAAGAGGTACATCTCGGGCTGCTTCCAGATGCCAAGAACTCTTCACCTACCTCTGAGCTACCAGGCTCAAAACACATTAACCTGTCCCACCAGGTACCTTCCGAGTGGGAGGCAAGACCAGCCACTCTGACCCGAGTCCCCAACTGCTTCCCAGAGACAACCTCAGGCGTATTCAAAAGTTGGAAAACAGAGCACACACAAGAAGTCACCTTTCAGTAATCAGTGCAGATGAAATATTACCGCTTTTATTAATATAAGAGTTGAAACCAGGTCCTGGCAAGTGCCCTAGTGTAAGCAGCAAGCCGCACAGACACGCCTCTTCCCCTCTCCTCAGCCTCTGGCTCCAACATTCCAGCTCCCCGACTTGTTGACCATTTCCAAAGCCACAAGGACTGCTGTTCACCCCGTCACGTGCCCACAGCCTGCATTTCCCTGGGATAAGTGACTCTTTCGCTAGGAAAGCAGGACGTTCCCCCAGGACCCTGCGGTTCTTCCTCGGTCCAAGCGCTCAGAGAGCGATCTCCAAGCCCAACTTCCCTGTCCAAAGAGACCGAGGACATAGACACCTGTATCTGCTCCATATCAGCAAAAGAAACAGAGTAGAGACGGTGACTCACCATTGGCTTATGGTTGGGGAAGAACGTTTGCTCCACAAGAGGGAACTTCTCAGGGCCCAGGGAATGGAAGATCTTAATGAGCTGCGAGAACTACGGATGGAAAGGGAGAGAACATTAGTCGCTGTTTTTACCTGCTAAGGGAAACCACCCACTTGGTCCTGGGGGTCAGGTGTCTGGCCTCCAGTAGCTTTCACCACCCCTCGACAAAAGCCAGCTTCCTGGGCTGGACAGTCCTCCTCTCCAGCACCTGGCTGTATCCACCCCTCCATACCTGCCCAAGGACCAGGAAGCAGGTGGATCTCTGGGTTCAGCACAACCACATTTAATGAGCACTTACTACATTCTCAGCATTCCACCCAGGGTCCTCGTCCACAGCACAACCTGCGGGCTGGCCTTCACGCCACCCCCGCTCGCAATGCCTTTCTTTCTACCGTGGTGGGGTAATTTTTGGTGTAGACACTGGGTTTAGCATTCCTGGGTGCAAAACCTTGATCTGTCACTCACAAGCTGTGTGAGTTGGGAGGTCCCTGAAGGTTCCTGAGGTTTGATTTTCTCGATGGTAAGGAGGGGTCCTACTTCGTTGCAGTGTTAAGGATACATGACAGAGCAGCGCCTGGCCCCTGGGAGCCTAGAACGTGAGGCGCTATGATTGACACACATTTTTCTCTGCTCTTCAACCTACTTGTTTCCAACGGCTCAAGCCACGTCCCCTCCCACTGTGCTCCTCCTGCCTGTGCATTTCCCCACTGGAGGGAAGATTAGCTCCTGTCTCCAGAGAGAGAGGGAAAGTCCGGGAGCAGGCTCTCAGGCTTCGTGCCAGAACTGGGCTCCACTACGGGGACCACAAACTGCACCTGGGGGACAGACTGCAGGTGCACATTTGGGACGCTGATGGTCTTGCTGGAGTACAGCATGAGGGTTCTGGGATCTGGAAACCAGTCGGAGTGGGGAGGGAGGGTCCCTGGAGCAGATGACTCATGGCATCTAAGATTCAGGTGCCACTATTCGGCAACCAGTTACTACTAGGTACGCAGGCTTGGCTTTCCTCATCTGTAAATGGAGATATTAACAGCAGGGAGGGGAGTCAGAGTGGGGGCCGGGGAGGGCCCTGGAGCAGTAAGAGGGTTCAGGTTCTCTGGGTGTGCAGTGAGGGAAGTGTGTGCTAAGAGCCTGGGAGGTTGCCAGGGCAGTGGCCTCAGGTGCAGGGGACAGCAATTGAAGAGTCTTGACGGTGTCCACCATAGGCTACCAGGACCCCCAGGCCAGACCAAGGAGCTTAGAATCCACCCAAAAGGTGAAGAAGAGCTTCAGGGAAGAACAATTTAGACTCTCAAAAGAAAACAAGCTGGGTGTAGTGGTGCACGCCTATAGTCCCAGAGGCTCTGGAGGCTGAAGCAGGAGGATCATGAGTTCAAAGCCAGCCTCAGCAAAAGCTAGGCACTCAGCAACTCAGTGAGACCCTGTCTCTAAATAAAATACAAAATAGGGCTGGGGGTGGGGCTCGAGTGCCCCTGAGTTCAATCCCTGGTATCCTCCCTCATAGAAAAGGAATTGTGATTTGCTGCTGGGCGCAGGTGGTCAGGGGCTGGGGGCAAGCCTTATGCAGACTGGCTGGGGGCACCTCAGTACCAAGCCTAGACAGAGAGAACAGGGCAGCCCAGGAACTTTCTGCCTCAGCCCAGGATTGCTGTGCAGACTATAGGTGGAGCCTGCAGGTGCAGTTCAAACTAGAGCCAACTGAGAGGGCTCGAGAGGGCTCGGGAGGCCTCGGCAATGTGTAGGGGGAATGATGTTGGGTAGGGGGTCCCTCGCTTCCCAGGTAAGGGAACTGGAGTCCAGAGAGGGAGAGAAATTCTATGCAAGCTTTGGAGAGGCTACCAGTTACTTCTTGCTCCCCAGGCTTGGGTTCCTTCGAGGAAACGTCTGCACAGATGGAGATGTTAACAGCAGCTACTCATCAAGGTAGTTCTGAAGATAAAACACAATCTTCACGCCAGGGGCTCAGAACAGAGCACAGTGAGTGCCAGAGAATTCAAGTTGTGACCATCATGACCACTACGTGGAAAAACAAAGCAGATGAGCTAATATTGAGGAACCTTTCCTAATAGTGGCACTTGAATCTTAGATGCCATGAGCCAAGAGGCTCGGTTAGAGCAGAATGGGAAGGAGCCCAGGGATGGTTTTGGTGGTAAAGACTGTATACAATTAGTGCATGTCGGTCCTTCCATAAATATTGAGTGACAGCTCAGCATAGACTTGTCCCATATACAATGGACAATGATAACTGTCACCATTTACTGAGAGTGTGTTGTGCCAGCCACCATTGTAAGCACTTTACGTGTATGAACTCAAAACCAGACCAGAAAGCCTCTCCTATTATCACCATTTTCCAAAGAAGAAAGAAGTTGAGTTCGGACAAGTGAAGCAGCCCTGCCTGAGGGCCCGCAGCTCCAAAGTGGAGAGACCTGGACTGGGCGGCCGGGCTGCAGAGCCCACGCCTCGGCCGCTGCCCCACCCCCCATGTGGCCACAGAGAGACAGGGAGACGGGGCCAACCCGACGGCCCCGAGCCGCACAGAGCACATTCTGTATACACAGTCTCCGCTTCCCTGTCCTCTGTCCTCCTTCATGTCCCCCTTGGTACTTATCGCAAGGCATAGCGCCTAGTTGACATGTTTACGAAGGCACTTCAAGTGCTGGAGCCCTTTGGAATGTGAGATCCGCAGGGTGGGCAGGGGCTGGGGGCTGATTCCTTCCCCGATGTGTTTCTGGGACTCTGGACAGTCCCCGGAACACAGTACACACTCAAAAAATCATTTGCCGCGCCTCTGAATTCCTTCCAGTAAGGGAGACAGATAGTTCACAAATGAGCAGATATGGTTCCAGGTGCAGATCAGAACTGGGGGGGGGGGACAAAAAGCAGAGTAAGGGAGGGGGGCGTGGGGGGCTGGCTGTTCTAGGAGAAGCCGTCTTGGCGGTATTTGGATGGAGGCTCAAACAAATCAAGTGAATGAATGAAACTAATGAGTCACGGGGAGAAATCAAGTCTCCAGGGCGGAAAGCAACGGCTTCAAGTCCCGTCTTCGCTACTCCTTGGCCGCGAACCCTGGGTGGGTTTCTTACCACGTAGCATGGTTTTCTGTTCTATAGTAAGTGCTCACTAAATGACACCTGCTGTTAGCAATAATGATCCCGCCATGACGGAATGCTGAGAACAGTAAATTGCCCTTTGCGACCGATGTCAGGACTCGCACTGTACCGTAATTTGCCATCCCATAATATTTGTTAGGCAGCAATCTCAAGAGGACTCTCCAGAATGCTTTGAAGGAGATACTTTTCCCGACGGAAGCCCCCATGGGGGCGAATGGGCCCATTTCAAGACGGGGAGGCCACCCGCCGCCCCTCTGGTCCCTCTACGTGGGCCTGGCCCGTCACCTACCACCCAGGGCTTGCTGCAGAAGTTGTAGACGGAGTAGAGGGAGTTGACGGCTGGCAGCCCTCCGTACTGGAGGCCGATGACCAGGCTCCGGTAGTCCTCACCCAGGGCCATACTGTAGGCATGCTGACGGACCAGGATGAAGTCGGGCTTGAAGGATCTGCCGAGAGAGAGTCACCAACAGCGTCAGTACAGGATGCGGGGGAGCCTCGCTGGGGCACCAGGGCATGGGCCGTGGCTTGCCAGGCATAGGGCTGACCTGGTCACTGGTGTGGTCACTGCCCCTTGGGAGCTCTTAGCTCAGAGTCTGTGCAGGGCTGGGAGGGTGAGGATGAAGGTCAGAAGCGGATGCAGCCACTCATCTTTCAAGTTCAAGACTGAAAACGCCATGTACTCTCTCTCCTGTGATTTTTGCAACCAGGAGAAAATATATTAAATAATTCAGTGAATAGACCAGATTCTGCTGGGCTGTGGGTGCTACACTGAATGTCATCACCTGTGGGGAGACCAACTGCCCCGGCAGCGGGTATTGTGGCCATCAGTTTTGCAGATGGGCACCCAAGGCTCAATGAGACTAAACTCCTTGCTCAAGAAGATGAGCTGTAGGTGAGCCAGGGCGCAGCTGCTTGGGAGGCTGAGGCAGGAGGATCTCGAGTTCAAAGCCAGCCTCAGCAATGGTGAGGCGCTAAGCAACTCAGTGAGACCCTGTTGCTAGATTAAATACAAAATAGGGCTGAGGATGTGGCTCAGTGGTTGTGTACCCCTGAATTCAACCCCTGGTCCCCCCGTCCCCCCCAAAAAAAGACATGCTGTAGTTGAGTGACAAGGCTGGTCTGGCTCTCAACCATTTCAGATCAAATGTGTAGCAGTAGCAACCCCCAGAAGGTAGCAGGAGTATTCACGTAATGGTCAGATGCGTGCCAGGCTCTCTGCCAGAGCTGGGGCAGGTCTGGACCTTTCGTCCAATTTATAGTTGGGCGTGCTGCAGCTCAGAGAAGTTAGCTGACCTTGAACTTGGGTCATCTGGCTCCAAGTCCATGCCCTTTTTACCTCATTGCAGGGCTCCTGGTGGATTTACACATTGTTTTATTCACACTGTCAAGGGCCAAACTATTTCTGGATTCCTCGCTTCTAAGTCACATGAAAAAAAAAATCAGCCTCTTTGTAGGTATGGGGTTTATGCTCCGCATGGTGTGCATGATCAATCCACTTGGCTCTTTTGGAGCCAGGCCCTTAACTTCAAATAAATGGTGTCTCTTTAAAATAATTCAAATGTAAGTTAAAAATAGCTCTCGAAGGGAAAGGACTGGTCCCCACTGAAGACAGAAGGAAAGAATGTGCAGGTGCGGATGATTCTCAAATCACAGTGAGCATGGTCCCTGCCCTATGCCCCGGGCCTGACACGGTGGCAGCAGGTGTGTAATGAATGTGTTGAAGGGCAGGACAGTGAGCAGGAGCCTCACTCACCTCACTGCCAAGGGCAACACCAAGGTCTCCTTGGCTAACTGATAACTCGGGTGAAGGAAGCCACTTGGACAGCGGCATCCTCTTCCTGCAGGGGATGCCTAGTGTGTTCAAGGGATGGCAGTGGGAAGAAATGGAGTGTGTGTGTGTGTGTGTGTGTGAATGTGTGTGTGTGTGTCTCCAACATGGATCTGATGACAAAAAGGAGCACTTGTTTGTAAATGTAACCATTTTCTGCCTTTATCTGATTTTTTTTTTGGGGGGGGAGAACTAGGGATTGAACCCAGGGCTTTGCAAATATGAGGCAAACACTTTGCCACTGAGCTACATCCCAGCTCCCTTTATCTGATTTTAAAAACAGTATCAAAAAAATCTATGGGAATGCTTTGACAACTAAGAGAAAATTTCTAATAATCTACTATACCGTATTTAATATGCATCCATACTCTTAAATGATTTTATACTTTCTGTTAATTATGATTTTTGAATTTTTTCACATAGTATTATTATGTCAGTGTTTCTCCTGCTATCAAAATACCAGCAAATATATAGTTTCTGAGAGCTGCGTAACAATCCACTGAATGACACGCCACAATGAAGTACCCAGTCACCTACACTGCCTAGAAGGGGGTTTTCAATATTTCACTAGTCCGTAATTGCAGACAAATCAATGCCAACATTTTAAACTATGCTTGTAAGACAGATTCTAAGTGGGATTAATGGATTAAAGGATATGAGTTATTTTCAAAAAATGTTTCTTTTTCATCTTTTAAGGTACTTTCCACCAATTTCCTATGAGAATGTCCATCTCACAACAGTCTCATCAACACTGCGGTTTTGGAATACTGTGTTTTTTTTGATCATGGACTTCCCCCAAGCTCCTCTGCATCTCATTGTTGTTTCGGTTTGCATTGTTTGCACACTAGTTACATTGAATTTTTTTTTCTTAACCATTTGCATTTTCTTTCCTGTTTCCATCTTTTCCTGTTTTAAAATAAAAGGGGGCCTTTTTTTGCTCATTGATGAGGGCTTTGTGTGGTAGGGACGTTGGCCTTGACCCAGTACACACGCCAATGTCTTCCCTGGAGGCTGGCTTATCCCTTCTTTCTAAAGGGCTGTCCATCTTTTTCCAAAGCACACAAACACATTTTCCGTTGCTCCCAGTCCAGTCTATTAGGGGTTCTTTTTTTCCTTTCTCTCTCCACTGTGCTGTTCAGAGAGTCCCCAGGGTTACGGCTCTGACCATGGCCCTCCCTGACAGTGTGGGTTCCAGGACGGACCCCAGTGGCAGCAAACATGGCGTCTCACTGGGGATAACACCCCCTTCATCTGTGGGGAAGAAGCTGGAGGGCTGATGTTGACGGGCTCCTAGGTCTTCCTTATTTGCAGAGAATTCATGATGGGGTGCAACCCAGGTCAAACAAAAACAAAACCTGGCTGCTGAGAGAGAGGGCGCCCAGGCCGAGTTCCAGGAACAGAACTCTCTGGATTGTCTCACAATGTCTTGTCCCAGACATCTCTCTTCAAAGCTTCTAAAAGCCACACTGAAGTCAGACTTATTCTGATGCTTTGACACAAAACACAAAGGTCACCTCCAATTCATCTTCAGGATTTGGACATCAATCTCCAAATTCCACAAAATGCTCTATCAAAATTATCCCCCTTCCTAAAGCCCCCTAAAGTCTCCCAAGGACAGCTCCTCATGATGCCACAAGGCCCCGGGGTGGGGCTGGGGGCTGTTGGTTTTCCATCTTCCTCCCCTCCGTCACCCCTGACCTCCCCCTGAGCCTCACTGGCCACTCTCCTTCCTCCAGTTCCTCTCCCTGGATGGTCTTGTCCCACGGGGTCAGAGGGGCCTGGTCCTTTAAGACCCCGTCCCATCTACTGTATCAAAACTCGCCCCAGCCTTCGCAGTGCCTGCTTTCTCTTCTTCTTGGCTCCTGTGGGAATTTCAGTCGTCCTGTTCCGTTTAGTTGCTTTCTGTCCCTCCCTCTCCTTGAAAGACGTCAGCTCAGTGAGAAAAGGGATCTGCTCGTCTTGGGCAGGGGAACCCTGACGATGTGTTCGGGTGAAGGATGGCATTAGTGGACGTGGGTACCAAGGAGTAGCTCGCGGGCCACCAGGCAGTGGAATGGCCACTGCAAAGGGAGGGGCCTCTTCCCTCGTGGTCCTAGAGAGGAGACCAGGTCTGGTAGCCAAAGTATCCCGCGGGTAACATGCGTCCCCTCTTCACTACAGGGCCACAAGTTCAGTATTTACAGAGAAAGGTTAGTATTACCCAAAAGTTTTTAGCCCCTAGGAATTCAAGTTGGTCCCCATGACCTCTGAGGATTCTCACATCCAGGGTGTAAAAGACATTTCCCCAGGGTGACGTATCAGGGTGGACCAGCGTGGTAGAGTTTAAGTTCTGTTTTTCATCACTACGGAGAATGCTGAGTCCTTGCTGCATGTCCAGGTGGGAGAGATTGGCGAGGATGATGGAGAAATTAGTGGCTCAGGCCAGGTGCCCAGTTCCTTCCCTTGAACCCAGCACCCCAGCTTCTCCATCCAGCCAGGGGACAGCCAAGTCCTGTGTGTCACCCCAACCTCCGTGAATGTGTCCCCCAGCCGTTACCAAGCCCGGACAGTGGACCAGAGGTGCCTACAGAGGTCGGGGATCCCGAGGTGGCTGGGACATGATCCCTGCTCTCATGATTCTGGCGACCCAGGCGGCTTTGCTAAGTGAGGGAAGGAGCAGGAGGGCGGGGGGGCGGGGAGATACTAGGGCGCCAGGTGTGTTCAGCTTTTTCTGCGGGTAGGTATGGGTAAGCGGGTGGGGGAGGCTTGGACTTAAAAGAAAAGCAGCAACTTGAGAGTGGGCAGGGGTCTGAGGGTGCTCCAGGCAGTGGTGGCACCTGCGACCAAGGGATGGGCTCTGTAACAGGGCTTAGTGGCCTCGCTGGCTTTTGCTTGGTCTGCTCGCCTCCTCTTTCTCTGCCAGCAGAGCTCCCATCAGGGGACCGCATTTCCTTCCCTGGTCGGGAACTGAGTGAGGATTGAACCTCGGAGGCCCAATGTGCCTTCTAGGGGGTGAGCTGAGGAGCCGGCTAAGGCCAAGAAGCAAGCTGGGCTGTCGGGGACCACTTTCCTGCTCCACGGAGGTGTCCCTTCTGTCAAAAGTGCTGGTTGGGAACAGAGACACAGGCCCCGTCAACACCAGCAGAGCCTGAACCCTACTGAGCCAGAACCAGAGTTATCTTTCTCTTCTGAGCTGGGTGAGCTATGAAGTGACCCCTGCACCCCGTTTCCTGTTCCTCAGTAGGTTAAACTGGGTCAGTTGCTTTCTACCAATATTGCTCTGATATTGAGAAGAAGGGGCCAAGTTTCCAGATAGTTCCATGATTGGAGTATAGGTAGGATTTGGCAGCAAGAGATGAGGTTGGGTAAACAATTCCAGACACCCCTGTTAGGCCCCTTGACACTCCGCTCTGTCTGCCATGCCACTGGCCCAACCCTGTGTCTTTCATGCCTGGGCAAGGAAGGTCCCCTTCAGTCCCACACAAGAGGGTACTTCCTGGTTGGAGACTTTCACTGTTTCCCTCTCTCTCTCTCTCTCTCTCTCTCTTGTTATTTCAGCTTTAGATTTAATAGGACTCTGTTAGTTGGGTTCTTGATCCGAGGTATTTCTCAGAAGTGGCTGTTGGCACGGCAGAGGAA